CTCTAACCAATCAACGAGCGTTTTTACGTGTTACTAATACTTTCTACGGTTCAACTTACGTCAACTTCTTATCTATTTTACCACACGATTCTCTTATTAATCTAGTTAAATCATGTGCACCACAAATACTTATTGTGTGTGGTTAGCCTTAGCTTTGTTCTCAATAAATTTCATTGCTAATCTACTAAGAGATTTAAAGAAACTACATTCTTAACAACTACAACATGCCAATATTAATTTTGCTCAACTATCGTTCCTTCCAACTTGGTCTTTCAAAATCGCGTCACTTTGATTAACGATTTTTATAGGTCGATGCAAAACACGACCCACCTACCTAATTTGCCGTCTTTTCTTAGCACATTCGTCATTTCAGTTGATTCATCGCTTGATCTAATGAAAAATAACTAGATCATTAGCCATCCTAATTGTAAACGACTACACTTTTCTCTTCTAACTCATTTTATTGAAATCGCATCATCTTCACGAGAGTTTCTTTACGGGTTGATGTAAAACATGCCTCACCCAACATCAATATCCTCATCTTCTTTCCACATTCATCCTAACGTACATGCACATGTAATATGGATACATAAAAATAAAATTCATGCACCAGACAAAAAGGCCATTGAACTGACAAATTTGCAAAAGAGTATTAAAAAAAAAAAAAAAAAAGTTTGAAAAATGACACAAAGTGATGGCTCACTTTTACTTGTAAGAGACATTACGTACTGGAAGCCTTAAAAAGGTTGAAGATTTCATCTTTGGATCCCACAAAAATTAAATGAAAATCTTCATAAATCCACACACTGAGAAAAGAAGCATTGTTCAGAATTTCCTCATTCGTTAATTTATTCTCTGTTCACACGTGCAGGCTCCATCCCATGCGCTTCACTGCCCTCATTTTGCATTAGGGTTTATGAGAACACTCAAACTGAACAAAAATGTCAATCCAAATGAAGAAAGATATCCGCCCAAAATCTTGTTGACTGGGACCTTTTCAGTTTCATAACTTACGAATAAAGACTTGATTGAATCATTTGGTCAAAAACTTCAACTTATTTCATGCTCCATCAAGAGTAAATCATCGAAAGTATATAGTTATTTCATTCTTTATATTGTCTACCTTCGGATAAGCATTGGTAATTTTGTTTTATTTTGATGTTGAAAATAATAATAAGAAACAATTTATGTGTGTAAATTTTATTTAAATGCAATAGTACCAGTGTAAAGACTTGAGAAGTAAAATAATTATAAATCAAGCAAGGAAAGGATGGCCTTTTTCTCAAGGAAGAGGCGAGCCATCAATGGGATACTACTCTTAAAAAAATTGAAATTTTAATTTTGTTGGTCCCTTCGTTTGAAAAGTAGTGTTAAATTGAATACGGGTTCGTTTGATAGTATTTTTTGCTTTTACTTTCCGTTTAAACCAAAAAAAAAAAAAAAGGCTTTTGGACGAAGCTTACTTTATTTTTGTTTCCTGTTCTAATAGTGCTTTTAGATGAAGTTAAATTGGATCATTTTCTTCTAAAAGTTCTAACAGTAGAAGCACTTTCATAAAATTAAGCAAAAAGATCTACAAACAGCTTTGGGTATTAAAAGTTCCTTTTAATTTTTCGAAAATCATGCCAAACGACTCATGAATATATTTACTTAAATTATGTCTTTAATATGTTCTCTTACATACAAACACGATATATTAATTTTATTAAAAATTTGATTTTTTATAATAATGCAATAATATATTGTTGATGACATATTAAAACTGATATGTCTCGTCCACAACATTGGTCCACTTGTCAGTTCGATGGCTCAATCTGCTGATATGCATATGAAATATTTGTTCTGGATTTTTCTATCCAATCAATAATTGTACGATTGAACTCGAACTGTTAGGGTCAGTGGACACGACTTTAATTCTTCTCAATAATTCTTCGGAATCAAGCCTTTGTTTGAATTTCATTATTTTTATCTAAATACTTTCTTCATTAATGATTTGACCTCAATTTAATGACATATTTTTTTATTAAAATAATATTATACATAAATTTAAAACTTTTATTTATTTTGTAATCACATATTTTCCATCAATACACTATTTAAAAATATTTTTTTTAAAAAAAATGGGACTCAAACAAGAGCTAAAAAATAAATAAAGAATTAACCCCTCATTTGACATGAGAAGAATAGTAGAGAATCTCTATGGTGTACTCGAGAAAAGAAAATTGCTGTGGCCTAATTATGAAGAAAATAGTTTAGGATCCATTTAATAGTATTAAATTTTATGAAAAATGTCACATTCGAAAAATTCGTTTTTTACTTTGACTATTTTATAAGAAAGTGGAAATAAAGTTCGAATTGTAAGATACAAACACTTAAAACATATTTTTTGCCAATTGAATGAAAATCGAATTCATATGATTTTGATGAATTTTTCTTTTCCAACTTACGTGAAATTGATTTAATTTTTCCACATTTGCAATCAAATGGTCCCTTACTATACTGTGGGCTGGCCTTTCCTGTATTTTTAGTTTTAGATGCAAAAATTGGTTACTATAATATATATTTATACCTTAATATATGTATGTATATATGTATATGTATATATATTAAGGTTAGGCTCCATAAGCTTTTTAATTAGAATAGTTTTCCAACCTTCAAGTAAAATTCTGAATTCTTGACCTATTTAACTCTAGTTCTCACGGGAGAAAATTTGTCAACGTGAATTCTAAAATTGAACGTAAAATTCACGTTAGAATATGTGTCTTCATGTTAAATCTTTCACAATTTTGTCCACTAACATTTAACTAAGACTACTTATACAATTTTAACGTCTATATTAATAGCATTTGTTATGTGGAGATTAAAATTCATAAATATAAATAGATTGAAGATCTTAAATATCACTTTCGAATATTATGGAGTCGAAACGACACTAAAAATGTTGAAGAAAGAGTCCAATTTTAATGTTTTAACAATTTTAGATAAATTTGAATTGATTTTTATTTATCATTTGTTTTTATTTTAAATTTTCAGTATTAATAAATACTCTCTACCAATCCGTTTTGATTTAAAAAAAAAAAAAAAAAAACTGAAATAATTGGTAATTAGAATTGCTTGTAAAGCACATTGGGAAGGACAATGCCATACAAATAATTTGTGACTTTTACGATGCAAAAAATGGTTCAAACTTCGAAATATATACTCTTCAAAAATAACGGCTGCGTATTGTCATTCAACAAACTCCTCACTTTATTTTTTCACTTTGCAGTGTATTAAATAAATAAATAAATATTTCTAATTTTGAACGCCACAATGATTTGGGCCCCAAATAAAATATATAAATATTTTAATTGATTTAACAACTTTACACTGTGCCTAAACTTTGGTATTACAACCTAAGCTTCACCTAGGATTTGGGACCCACCTGAATCTCTGTCCGAGAAGACTACTGCCACGTGCTTCAGGCTTTTAACAGTTTTGAGAATTATTTACATATAACTTTTTGTTTTGCATTCAGTGTCTTACAATAATCAGAAGCCTAATCTGCTCGTGCTTTGTTTTTAATCAATTGATTAATTTGTGGGTTGGTGACCTTACTGAGAGTTGTATTATGTACAGATACAGAAACTTTACAGATCACACATATAGCATTCTCATGTGAGATTTCTGTATGATTTCTATAAAATAATTTTTGTATAACTAGAATTATTGGACCTTACTCGAGTTCATTGGCTCCTTTAGAAATAGTAATCCCTACGTTAAACTTTCAATCCCGCTACGTGTACAAAAAACGATTAACAATTTTTTTTTTTTTTTTTTTTACCACTATGTTATTCACATGGGGCCACCCCCAATGTGTAAGATCTGTATTTATTCTGTCAAACCCATTTATGTACAAATTGATTTTCTCTAAAACTTTTTATAGATTATAAGCTATGAGTCAAAGATGTGAATAGAAGTTATTAGTTATATTGAATTTGGTTTGATGAGAATTAAGCCCCGTTTGGTAGTCATTTTTTTCAAAATATATTTTTCTCTTTTATCTTTTCAACCACACATTCTTTATTAAAATAATATTACATGTAAATTAAAAAATTTTCCTTATTTCTCAACCACACATTTCACATCAATTTACTATTCTAAAATACATTTTTACATAAAAATGCCTATCAAACACCCCTTAAAATCAAATTTTCAATAATTTTTTTGAAAAAAATGGATAAAATGTGTTATTGAAAAACTGTGGAACTCGTAAAATATGTTATTAAAATTGATTGATGACTTGTAGATAAAATTTATGTAATCGTTTCCTTTTCTTCTCTAGGGATAAAGGTGCGTAGAGCGAAGGATTTATGAGTCTTTTGTGTTAATTCCTTAATTTGTTGATCATATCGAGTTGTACGAGCTTGTGAGACCTATCTTACAATGAGCCTACGCCGGATTCTAAGAAGACTTTCACTTTAATTCCTATCGGGAAGAGAGGTTCCCAACTTGCTATTAACACTCAAAAATAGAGAACTAGAAAATCGGATTTCTTATCTTCCACATAAAAGGTTGCATTTGCAGTAGTTTCAACTTTACATAAAAACTTGTAATTCTCCATTAAGATGTGGAGTATCAATGGTTAGATGTACTATAAGATCCTTTTCGTGACCTGATCTTATTTACAATTTTTATGCTTTCGAAAGAACAATATACAGTTTTTCTCACATTTAATTATGCTTTTTGCTGCTTAATTTGTTGGTCTCACTCTCTCATTTCCAGCTGAAGATGACATCAAACAACCTTTCAATCATAGTCTGTCAACGAGTCCCTTAACCCAATCAACAATGCTATGGTGACAGAATTTTTCTGACATAATGGATGACCGACACTCATATTGGCTAGGGGCTCACTTCTTTTTTGGACTTTTTTATTCACTTGGAACCCACGTGCTGGTAGAAGATGTCAACAATTATGTCAAAAAAATCGAAGAAGTAGCTTAATTGTAACCCAATACGAGAATTTGGATTCTCCGACCCTATTTTATAGATACCAAAAGGAAGTACAAGAAGTAACTGATGAACTGAAATTAATTACTTCAAAGCTTGCAATAATAGTTAGTAAGTTGATTTAGAATCCTTCATCATAACAAGGGGGTACTGAAAATTTTCATTTTCATGGAGAATTGAGCAATCTAGCGGAGTAGGAATTGAGGGAGAGCTCGAGGGAAGCCCGAGACGAGCCCACGTTGTTGTTATCTTCATCCCGCGGGCCGTACTCCCAGCCATTATAGAAGTTAGGTTCTTGCTTGAAAGTGTGTTCAGCGTGCATGGGGAAAAGAGGGAGAGTTTCAATTTCTTGGACCTGTTCTTCTTCTTCCTGCAATTCATCTTCTAGGGTTTCATATTCAACATACTTTCTCTTTTCAAGATATGGGTGGCAGCCCCCTCCTGAAGAATACGGGTCGACTCCAACCCATGCAAAGTTTTTACACATACCAGATCCATTGCCATCACCACTAGGAGATATGGAGCAGTCCTGGTTTATTTGAATACAACTGAAAGAAATTAAAGAGAGAAAGAGCCCTGTACTGTACTGAACTGTTGGTCAAGAACTTCTATTTATTGTAAACAAGTTTTTATGGTAATTATCCCCGAAAATTTGAACTAAATACATTGAGAAATCACTATCATGGTTCATTTTCTTCAGAAAAAATGTAATATTTCCTGTGTCTTCTTCTAATGCTTCTTTGCACCAAGAAATTTAGGGGTTTTCTTACTCTTGGTATTTTCTTGTCTTATTTCTCCATTTTATCTTGTTTTCAGATCAAATTTATACTTCAAAAGGACACCTTTTGATTTTCACGTTCTATAACCAAAATAAAGATTATTTTTCAATTTTCACCAATATGTATATGTAATAAACAGGTTAAAAATCAATATACTCACTCTGAAACTCTTCTCCATGGCCACAGAACCATAGCCAGGGACAGCATTCAGCAAACCGGGCGAAGAACTTGATGAAGATGGAAAACCTAACATGAAAAAACACATTTATGGGCATGAAATTAGAAAACCCTCAAAAAAATCTTGAAGTAATACAAGAACCCTAATCACTAAATGAACATCTAATAATAAGAAATTGAAATATTGACCAGCAGCAGTAAGATTGTTAGGGAGTGGATGATCTGGTTGGTACTTCCAAACACCAGAAGCAGGTGATCTGTGGTGCATGGGGACATCAGAGGCAGAAGGAGGAGTACTGGTGAAGCGTTTCTTCTGCCTCTCGCGAGCTTTATGGTTCTGAAACCAATAAAAAACATTTTTGCCTTCAATCTTGCCGTACTGCCTCAACTTGGCAGAGATCCTCTGAATCTGCTCAGCATTTGGAGACCTAACTCCATTGTTGTAGTAAAGCTCTTTCAAGATTCTTATTTGCTCAGTAGTGGGTGTCCATCTTGTACTGCTTTGCCTGCATAGAAAATTACTGTGTTTGTTCCCTCCATCTTCATTTCCCTGCTGATGATTTTGTTGAGTTTCCATTATGGATTTTCACTTTTCAGAGAAGAAGAAGAAGGTAGTTGAAATGGTGAAAGTGGAAGAAATGTTGAATTATAAAGAGGGGGTGGGGGTAGGGATAGAGGGGATGGCACATGGAGTGTGTTAGAGATAGAAAGAGGAGGATATCAGAGAGATATCTGGTAGAGAAGGACTGAAGTTGACAGGGAAGACTCTAAAGGAGGAATAATTTTAACACTCTTTGCTTGGATCAAAAGGCAACAAAAAGTTATGATTAAGAATGGAAGGAAAAAAGAAAACTTGTGAATGAATGAATGAATGTTACAAATTTATGTATTGTGATTTCAATTCTAGAATGCTTTTGTTTTATTAATAGATATTTGGTTCTTGATTATCAGCTGCAAAACAAGTACTTTAATTGTAGGGTTTCATTAATTATATGCAAATCATAGCATATAATATACCCGACTACATATACACGAAGATAGGTGGCAACCATTCGTTGGACCTTAGACAAAAAACAAATTTGTCCTTGTCACTGCAGTGTTGCGACATGTCTCCCTATAATGCTTTCTACACAATCACCCTCTACAAGCAGATGAAGGATTTGTGCCATATTTTTTGCTCAAAATGTATTTTGAAATAGTATTTTCTTTGTAGAATGTGTATTAAAAGTAAGTAAATGTTTTGAATTTACATGTAAAATTATTATGTTTTGAAAATATAGGGACCAAACATAGACCAATTCACAGGTTACTTATGCAACAAATGAGAAATAATTCAAGTTTTTCTTTTTCCTTAATTTAACAGTTCTTAATCAGCAGCCACCCTATTGAGTAGGGAGCTAGAGAATGAGTATGAAAAGATGGCATGGAAGCCAAAAAGCCAAATAACTTTCAAAATTTACTAACTTTAGAATCACATCTCTCTCTCTCTTCTCTCTTCTCTCTCTCTCTCTCTGGGGACACACACATTCACACATTAAAGAGTACAGATGAATCATGATTTTTCTGCAGTATCTATTTTGGGAGTTATGTCATGGATTTGAGATAAAATTTACAGCTTAGAAATTACAAGAAGGAAGAAACATTAAGAAATAATCACTTATAGCCACAGTTTTTCCATTTGGTAATGATTAAAATTTAGACTTTGATCTAAATATTAGTCAATAATTAATTTTAACGACATATTTAATGAGATTCACAATTTTTCTACCACACATTTAATCAAATTTTATAAAAATCAAACATTTTATCAAAATTTACTAAAAATTTAATTCTAATCACATATCTCATGAAAAATATGTTATATAATCAAGTCGTCAATGCAAAATTTTAGATATAGGCTACCTGATTATGGTATGGCAGATTACGTGTTATATTAAAATTTTGCAGTCGTGACTTGATCAACAGGGACGTAAATAGCGTCGGGGTGCCTAAGCCAATTAGAATTTTTACATGTAAATTTTATTTTTAGATGTAAACAAAATTTATATAGGATTATATATTAGCCTTTTGTAAAAAAATATTTTCCTCCCGTGTTCTTTAGGTGGCATATTTGTTGTAAAAGTATTACACATTGCTATCAAATTTTAATGTGGATGTATAGGTTTAACGTGTCAAGATTGTTAATAAGAGTTAATATAGTGGTTAATAATGAAAGTAAATTAATGTTTAGTGATATGATTAAAATAAATTTAAATTGGGTGATTCAATTGCAATTTGATTGACTACAATAAAAGAATAATGTTATTCGCAATCGCTCATTGCGACAGTCAACTTACGTGACATACACATGACAAATAGTTATTTGATGCATTAATGTAATTGTTTTTTATTGATTTATGCACCAAATGACTATATGTCATGTGTATGCCACGTATGATGACTATCGCATTGAAGAACTGTGAATAATGTTACTCAAAATGAAATGAAACCAAAAAGAAATAATCATGATATAGTCACAATATTAATTATTCTATATCCAATGATTAGTACCAATTATAAGTTAATTATGTCTTTACAATTATAACTTGGATGTTTCCAAACAATATATTTCTTCGAGTCTAAATTAAATAATGGGTAGATTAATTGGGGTATGTGTAAAGTCTCGCATCTATTAAATATAAACGATAACAAAATTGACATTTTAATATGGATCCCCCAATATTTAATAGAAATGAGTTATTGTAGGTATAAGAAAATATGTATATCAAGGTCTTGCACTTTTTAAAGTATCGTAATTAATTTATTTCTTAAAACTATTTAAGTGACAGTCTTCTAATTTCTGAAGTTAAATCCAAAAATGGCATCCCAATTCTACTACTTGGGACCATTTCTTTTTCTTTGTTAATGGGAAAAAAAGACTACAGAGCAGAGAGGAATAAATACAAAGAATTAATGAGACGTGAAGACAATATATGATGTTGATATTTTTTTTTTCATGTTCTTGAAATTATAAAGTCTATATATGTAATATAGTAGAGATTATTAAAAGTAAGTAATTTATTTCAAAATATTTGAGATTAAAGATACAATAATTAATTAACAAAAATATGGTGAAAATGATGGAGACTGCCACAGAAGCTAGCACGCGGGTGGGTTCTTTAGGAAAGGAATAAATGCACTCTAATTATTGGAGACTGATCACAAAATATTCATACACAAATATCCTCACTTTTATGTGCACAATCTCGGCTTCGAGACAATACTCACTACAAGAAATATCACTTTTAACGACAGTTTTTTTCTTTTGAAATCTTTCTCAACGATCATTTTTTGACGAAACTATCCAAAAATAACTTTTTACGACAAAAAATATTTTTGGAGTGACTTGTTGTGAATTGAATTGAACAGAACTAAAAAACAATGTGCAATCAAATTTGTTTAGTCTGGCTCAAATACAAGAACTAATTGTGTTCAATTAAATGTAACCAAGTTATTATATTAATTTATTAATTTTAATAAGTTACATTACACCTAGATAATAAATTCAATTATTTTAAAAGGGAAAGAAAATCAAATTTTAAGGACTTATCAATCATTGAAAAATTGACTTGAAAGTATGAATAATTACATTGGTTTTTTACCTCTACGATTATTATTTTCAAGGTGCACAGTGCCTAATCCAGCCATAGGGACTTTGGAAGTAAAAAATTATTGATGGATTAATCCTTTTTAACGTGCTAATTCCACTTTTTCTTCAAAATTCTGACTGCTATTTCTTGGGTTCAACTTTTGAGATTGTGCTATTTCTTTGATTTTGACACTATCATCCTCATTTTTCTTTTCTTTTTCATGCATATATATATATAGAGAGAGAGAGAGAGAGAGAGAGAGAGAGAGAGCTTGGAGTGATCTCCATTTGAAAGTTTATAGCTTGGTGTGACCTCCATCTAAAAGTTCAATCGTGCGTCTTGTGATCATACGCTAAATGTCTTTTGTCTTTTGTTTTCTATAAAACTTCGTTCTAACCACACATTTTATTGAATTCATAATGTATATAAAAATATTATCATATATCTCATAAGATCCATCAACATATAATCTCAAAAAATAAACAAAAAAAATTACCAATCAGGGCCTAAGTCCATGTACCTACGCCCCATGCACATCTCTCTCTCTCTCTCTCTCTGCTAATTCAAAGTATAATTATGGTTTCCATCAAATAGGGGTCTTTCTTTAGTCTTTGATATGCCTGTAAAAAAGCACAAGGTCTGTCCTGTTATTCAAATTCTGGACTGCTTACCTCATAAGATATATAGACCACCCCCAACCAACCCTATTCTTTTGGGTAATCATCTTCTTGAAGTTCAGTTTTATACCATATCTCGAAAGATTTGCACGTATCATCACCATCTTCACCTCTCTCTCCTCTTTCTCTCTCTACACTCCCATTTTCTTTCTTTGCTTTTTCACAAATAAATACACAGAAAGAGACTTGTAAACCATATGAAGAAAATTCTTAGCTACTACCAACATTATACAAATACTTCGCTGTCTCTGCATGTATATGTATATTCTATATTTATGTTTATAATGATATTCCAACGTATGCTATGTCAATGCCATGGACACTGATAGAAATGGTTGCTTTCATTTATTTCATGGCTTTTGCTAAAAAAAATTCACCAATGGACACCCTCAAGTACCAAGTTAATTTGATACACTTCACTTTTTCCGTTCTTAATTTAATTCTTGTTAAATACTCCAATTAGCAGACTGAATTTCTCAAGGACCCCACAAGACGACGATTCTTACTGCAGCTATTCGTTGTAGTTTCTATACTCCACATATATATCTTAAACTAATTACAAGTCTCGGTGTTTCGAGTTTATTGTCTTCTTGATTGTTTTTCAATACATTGAGTCTTTGGCTGATCACATTTTTCTTGGCAAATGAGAGAACTTCAATGAGTATGTATCAAAGAATGTGTAACAAATCTACGATGTGGTCGTCTTTCTTTCTTTTAATTCTACTTTCCCTTAGTTAGAAAATGTTTTTGGGTGACCTAAACATGTGGGCTTAGGCTGGCAAATCTTGATAGAGTTTGATGTTATAACATACCTAGCCACTATAATTTATTTTCTTAAATTTAACAGAGTATATATGTTACATTGAGCGACACACAAAAATGAAGCAAATATTGTACATTTTATAAAACAATATGTATGACAAAAGGGAAGAAAAACACATTTTACTTCACAAATCTCATAAAAAAAATTATGACATTTTATAAAATTGTACTTGTTCATTTTATGTATTTTTTTCTTTTACTATTATCTTCACTAAGTTGAAAAATATGTTTTTCTACACATTTGTTAATTATTTGTAAACAAAAGATGTTTTCTCATTCGATTTGACAAACACAACCCTTTTTTTTTTCTTTTTTAAGAATTAAATTATGTACATGATATTATTGAAAAATACTATAAAAGTTAGTAAATATTTGAAGAGGCGCACAACAATATAAATAAAATATTTTGGAAGTTAGAATTATAATAGTTGGGGAAAATTTCAACACATATCTCCAAATTTATACTATTTGTTG